ACAACGATGGTGACAAGCGGTGCTTGCGACTGCTGGGCTAACGATAATGTTGGGCAGACCTCCTGCGCGTTGCGCTGAGGGCGGCGAGGGCTGCGAGGGCGCGGTGGCGGTCTCCAGTTGCAGTTGGCGGGCTAGCTGACGATCATGTTCCTGCAATACTGCTGGGAAAAAGGCGTCTCTGGCCCAAGGTGTCCCCAGGTAACCTCCAGGAATGGATCACGCTCGTCGCAGGTTTTGTTCCTCTGAGGCATCCTCGCCGCTCATGACCCTGACCTTGCCCTGGTGTCGAGTCCGCCGTTCGGTCGTCGTTTTTTCTGTCACCTCTTGATGTTGTTCGCCTCTCTCCTCGGCGCTTCCTGGTGGGCAGGGTTCGCGGGCCACAGCTCTTCGGAGAATGAAAGGTTCACGGCTCGAAGCTCGAAAGGGGGGGGGAAGGATGAGGAAGGGGCGTGAGAGATGGGGCAACATCAGGAAGGCGTAGGATGCGGAGAGGTCGCCCCACGTCATATTTTGGAGCCGCCACGAGGGCGCGAAGTTACCCGTGTCTCGCGATTCACGATATCCCCCGCCCTCCTTGTCCGCGTATTCCCCCCCGGGGGCGGCGCCAGAGCGCGAAATGATGCGCGCTTCGCGCAGCGCGAAGCGCGATCTTAGCTGCTCTTGCACATCAGTTGCGCACAAGAGATACCCTAGGCAAAAGTGACCGTTGAAGCGCGGTTTGCCGTTCGCTGCGTGCGGTGCGGCGGTAGCGGCTTGCGCGCTTGGGTGTGCGCCCCCCCTTGCGCCCCACGACAGCCGCGCGCGAAAGCCACCCAGGCGAAGGGTCACTCGGCGTTCGGGGCGACCGCCCTGCCCGTGACCATTCGGACCCCCCCCTGGACGACCTCGGCGAGGCGCAGCTGTTGGAACGCATCCCGAGGCAGGGTAACCTCCAGGATTTTGCAAGAAAGCGTACGAACACGACAGAAGACGTGTGAACACGTGCAGCCGACCAGAACATTCTGGAGCGCTTTCGGGGCGCCCCAGAGCGCTACAGAGCGGCCGCGGCGCCCTACACATCTCGGGTGTCGCCAAATGCGTCCTTCGCTCAACCATAGCAACTTTGGCTCAAGCCCTTCAGACCACACAAGTCGCATCGAGCTATTTGTAGTACTGCACACATACGTGATAAGGTTAATCCATGGCGTTCAAGGCTATCGATGACGCCTACGGCGAATTGCTGCCGCCCCCTGCGTCTTGGAAGAGTCTATGTCGCCGAGCGTTGCGGACAGAGCTCGGCCAAGCTATCGGACCACGTGTTCCCCCAGCCGTTGTGGAAACACTTCGGGGAACGTGGGGGAGAACGACGAAGAAGAGCGAGGGAGAAGAGAGGAGGAGGAGGAGGAGGAGGAGGAGGAGGAGGAGGAGGAGGAGGAGGAGGAGGAGGAAGAAAGCTCTTGGGAGTCTCTTTGGGTACTCTTGGGGCCTCCTGGGGGCTTCCTGGGGTCCTTTTGGATGCCTCTTGGGGGCTTCCTTGGGACTCTTGGGGGCCTTTGAAGGCTCATTGGGAGATTCTTTGAACGTCTGAGGGCGTTTCTGGCCCGTCTGACGACGCCGGAAGCCGTCTAGGTGGCCTCTCTGGGCCGACTCGGGGCCCTCTTGGGGCGCTTCAGGAGCGTCCTGGAGACCATCTTGGACGGCTTGGAGATCTTGGGGCAGTCTTTGGGACCTATTGGGCCATGGCGGGACCATCTCGGGGGCCTCTTGGGCGCTCTTGGGGCCATTTGGGTGGCCTCGGGGACCGTCTTGGGCCGTCGGAAGGCCGAATATTAGCAAACGCCCGAATCATTTAAACAGCATCACACATATGAATGACTGTGGCATCTTCAGGCCTCCCCGGAGGGTCTTGAGGCCATCTTGGGGGCATCTCGTCCCGTCTTGGAGGCATCTTGGACCATCTTGGGCTCTCTTGAGGCCATCGTAGTCGTCTTGGAGACCATCTTGGCTGTCGTGGAAGCCACCTTATGGCCATCTGGCGTGGGAAGACCGACGATCTGGAAACTTGATGGGTCCTTGCGGAGTGGGAAGCCGACGGGAACCCTCTCTTCCGCAGGGAATGCGCGATCGGCCGAACACCTAATGGGAGCCTTAGCAAGGACCAGCACCTACTGAAAGTTCAGCACGCCGTGCACCCCTGTGGCAAGCCAACAGGGGACGCTGGATCTAGTGGTCTTCGGCCCATCCCGCCACCACGCCTGGGTTGTAGGTCGGAGGCCTTCCGGATACTTGTTGGGATCTCTCGGGAGGCCTCTCGGAAGCTTTTTGAGAGCAGTTTTTTGCGGTGTCTTGGGACCTCTCTTGGGCCTCATGGGGGCCTCTCGGGGGCCTCCTTGGGCTCCCTGGGGACCTCTTGGGGGGCCCGCTGGCGGTCTCGGGGGTCACATCTTGGGGCGGGGGGCTCGAAATGTCAATTCGTGTTCCCCCCCTTTGGGCCCCTCCTCGGGCCGCCTTGTGGGCCTCGTGCCGTCGTCGGGCTATCTTGGTGCCCTCTTGGGGGCCGTCTTGGGTTGATTTTTGGGTCCTCGTTGCCGCCTTCGAGCGTCGGGAGCCCGAAAAAAAGGCGACAACGGAAAGTCTGGCGAAGCGGTACGAAAACCAATGATCTTAGACTCCTGGGTCTTTCTTGGGCGGCCTCTTGGAGTTTTCCCTTGGGGCGTGATGGGGCTCCCTGGGCCGTCTGGCGGCGATCTCTTGGGCGTCTCAAGGCGATCGTTGGGCGACTCGGGGGCTGCCGTGAAGCGCCCAGAAGTCCGGACGGTGCGCACTTCACATAGCATGTCAATATTCAATGCAGGGAACTCTGAGGGACCTGAGGACACTGCAACTCGTGCCTCGAGGCGCGGCTGCGGATTTCTCACCTTGTTCTATTTGCTAATTTCTTTCAGCAGCTGCAGGCTTTGACGCTGCAGGATGCCGCAGATGAGGCACTGCTTAGGCGTGCTGGTCATGGTGGGGCAGCGGAAGATGCCGACAGCCACAGTGGCATGGTAGACCTCCAGTACCTCATGGACCAACACGCCGCGTCGGAGACCGAGCTGCATGCTCGTGCGGCCGATACGTGGCGCAAGTTTGCTAGTCAGATGGCCAATACTGGATGCAGCTATCAAGGGGGCTTGCTGCCTTGCCCCAATGGCAACATCTGTTACTACACGGGGCATGGAGGTTTGAACGTGACGGCCACAGTGGAGTATCGCGGGAACATTATCAAGACAGTCTTAACCCCCGACCCAGATGCTGCAGTCGACATGCCAGAAATCGTGACGTTCATGGGGGCTGGCACCAACGATGCTCCTGCAATGTTGATGGACGTACCAGCGGAATACCGCAGAACAGCGAATCCTGTGATGCTGAAAATGTTCTTCGTGGAGGATACCGATAATGTTACTGAGCAATGCCCTCATGACAGTGAGCGCGTGGAGTCCATGGGGAACAGCTCCGCGTCGTACCAGGTTGTGAGAACAACACTTTCGCAGTTTCAGCGCAAAGCCCAAACACGTTCATGGGCATGGCCTTCGATTTCGACAGCGAGGCACCTGTGGGTCACACCCTTGCCTTCGAGATCCCTGCCGGGACGGAGATCGTCTGGGTGAGCCGTGAAGAGATGGTCGAGGTGCTCCAAACGCAGGAGATGCCGGCCTCCCTCGAGAGGCGCTTAGAGGCGCAGTTACGCAAAGCTTCTTTGGCCAAGGGGATGGATGGCGCGCTCACGCAGAAAGGAAGCAGGCGGCGCAGGCGGCGCAGGGCAAGGTGCACGGATAGACAGATTGGGTCCATGGCAGGAGGTGCCGCCGCCGTGGGCGTCGCTTTTCTGGTCTGCGCGTTTACTTTCATAGGCTGCTTCACGGCGTCGCCGTTCTTGATGATGGCCGGGACAACGATGGTGACAAGCGGTGCTTGCGACTGCTGGGCTAACGATAATGTTGGGCAGACCTCCTGCGCGTTGCGCTGAGGGCGGCGAGGGCTGCGAGGGCGCGGTGGCGGTCTCCAGTTGCAGTTGGCGGGCTAGCTGACGATCATGTTCCTGCAATACTGCTGGGAAAAAGGCGTCTCTGGCCCAAGGTGTCCCCAGGTAACCTCCAGGAATGGATCACGCTCGTCGCAGGTTTTGTTCCTCTGAGGCATCCTCGCCGCTCATGACCCTGACCTTGCCCTGGTGTCGAGTCCGCCGTTCGGTCGTCGTTTTTTCTGTCACCTCTTGATGTTGTTCGCCTCTCTCCTCGGCGCTTCCTGGTGGGCAGGGTTCGCGGGCCACAGCTCTTCGGAGAATTAAAGGTTCACGGCTCGAAGCTCGAAAGAGGAGGGGAAGGATGAGGAGGAAGGGGCGTGAGAGATATGGGGGATCATCAGGAAGGCGTAGGATGCGGAGAGGTCGCCCCACGTCATATTTTGGAGCCGCCACGAGGGCGCGAAGTTACTCGTGTCTCGCGATTCACGATATCCCCCGTCCTCCTTTTCCCCTATTCCCCCCCCGGGGCGGCGCCAGAGCGCGAAATGATGCGCGCTTCGCGCAGCGCGAAGCGCGATCTTAGCTGCTCTTGCACATCAGTTGCGCACAAGAGATACCCTAGGCAAAAGTGACCGTTGAAGCGCGGTTTGCCGTTCGCTGCGTGCGGTGCGGCGGTAGCGGTTTGCGCGCTTGGGTGTGCGCCCCCCCCCTTGCGCCCCACGACAGCCGCGCGCGAAAGCCACCCAGGCAAAGGGTCACTCGGCGTTCGGGGCGACCGCCCCGCCCGTGACGATTCGGACTCCTCCTGCACGATCTCGGTGAGGCGCAGCTGTTGGAACGCATCCCGAGGCAGGGTAACCTCCAAGAGTTTGCAAACAAGCGTACGAACACGACAGAAGACGTGTGAACACTGCATCCGACCGAGCGCTTTCGTCGCGCTGCCCCAGGCGCTACAGAGCGGCCGCGGCGCCCTACACATCTCGGGTGTCGCCATATGCGTCCTTCGCTCAACCATAGCAACTTTGGCTCAAGCCCTTCAGACCACATAAGTCGCATCAACCTACTTGCAGTACTGCACACCTACGTGATAAGGCGATTACATAATGTTCAAGGCTATCGATGACGCCTAAGGCGAATTGCCGTCGCCCCCTGCGTCTTGGAAGAGTCTATGTCGCCGAGCGTTGCGGACAGAGCTCGGCCAAGCATCGGACCACGTGTTCCCCCAAGCCGTTGTGGAAAACCACTTCGGGGACGTGGGGATCGCGACGAAGATGAGCGATGAGCGGAGGGAGGAGGAGGAGGAGGGATGGGGACGAGGAAGAAAGCTCTTGGTAGTCTCCTTGGGTACTCTTGGGTCCTCCTGGGGGCTATTCCCTGGTGTCCCTTTTGGATGCTCTTGGGGCTTCCTTTTGACTCCTTGGGTGCCTTTGAAGGCTCATTGGAGATTCTTTGACCGTCTGAAGTGCGTGTTTCTGGGCCCGTCTGACGACGCACGGAAGCCGTCTAGGTGCCTCTCTGGGCCGGCTCGCTCGGGGCCCTCTTGGGGCGCTTCAGGAGCGTCCTGGAGACCATCTTGGACGGCTTGGAGATCTTGGGGCAGTCTTTGGGACCTCTTGGGCCATGGGGGGACCATCTCGGGGGCCTCTTGGGTGCTCTTGGGGCCATCTTGGTGGCCTCAGGGACCGTCTTGGGCCGTCGGAAGGCCGAATATTAGCAAACGCCCGAATCCTTTCAACAGCATCACACATATGAATGACTGTGGCATCTTCAGGCCTCCCCGGAGGGTCTTGAGGCCATCTTGGGGGCATCTCGTCCCGTCTTGGAGGCATCTTGGACCATCTTGGGCTCTCTTGGGGCCATCGTAGTCGTCTTGGAGACCATCTTGGCTGTCTTGGAGGCCACCTTGGGGCCATCTGGCGTGGGAAGACCGACGATCTGGAATCTTGATGGGTTCTTGCGGAGTGGGAAGCAGACGGGAACCCTCTCTTCCGCAGGGACCGCGCGATCGGCCGAACACCTAATGGGAGCCTTAACAAGGACCAACACCTATTGAAAGTTCAGCACGCCGTGCACCCCTGTGGCAAGCCAACAGGGGACGCTGGATCTAGTGGTCTTCGGCCCATCCCGCCACCACGCCTGGGTTGTAGGTCGGAGGCCTTCCGGATACTTGTTGGGATCTCTCGGGAGGCCTCTCGGAAGTTTCTTGGGAGCAGTTTTTTTGGGGTGTCTTGGGACCTCTCTTGGGCCTCATGGGGGCCTCTCGGGGGCCTCCTTGGGCTCCCTGGGGACCTCTTGGGGGGCCCGCTGGCGGTCTCGGGGGTCACATATTGGGGCGGGGGGCTCGAAATGTCAATTCGTGTTCCCCCTCTTTGGGCCCCTCCTCGGGCCGCCTTGTGGGCCTCGTGCCGTCTTCGGGCTATCTTGGTGCCTTCTTGGGGGCCGTCTTGGGTTGATCTTTGGGTCCTCGTTGCCGCCTTCGAGCGTCGGGAGCCCGAGAAAAAGGCGACAACGCTAAGTCTGGCGAAACGGTACGGAAACCAATGATCTTAGACTCCTGGGTCTTTCTTGGGCGGCCTCTTGGAGTTTTCCCTTGGGGCGTGATGGGGCTCCCTGGGCCGTCTGGCGGCGATCTTGGGCGTCTCACGGCGATCTTTGGGCGACTCGGGGGCTGCCGTGAAGCGCCCAGAAGTCCGGACGGTGCGCACTTTACATAGCATGTCAATATTCAATGCAGGGAACCCTGAGGGACCTGAGGACACTGCAACTCGTGCCTCGAGGCGCGGCTGCGGATTTCTCACCTTGTTCTATTTGCTAATTTCTTTCAGCAGCTGCAGGCTTTGACGCTGCAGGATGCCGCAGATGAGGCACTGCTCAGGCGTGCTGGTCATGGTGGGGCAGCGGAAGATGCCGACAGCCACAGTGGCATGGTAGACCTCCAGTACCTCATGGACCAACACGCCGCGTCGGAGACCGAGCTGCATGCTCGTGCGGCCGAAACGTGGCGCAAGTTTGCTAGTCAGATGGCCAATAATGGATGCAGCTATCAAGGGGGCTTGCTGCCTTGCCCCAATGGCAACATCTGTTATTACACGGGGCATGGAGGTTTGAACGTGACGGCCACAGTGGAGTATCGCGGGAACATTATCAAGACAGTCTTAACCCCCGACCCAGATGCTGCAGTCGACATGCCAGAAATCGTGACGTTCATGGGGGCTGGCACCAACGATGCTCCTGCAATGTTGATGGACGTACCAGCGGAATACCGCAGAACAGCGAATCCTGTGATGCTGAAGATGTTTTTCGTGGAGGACACCGATAATGTTACTGAGCAATGCCCTCATGACAGTGAGCGCGTGGAGTCCATGGGGAACAGCTCCGCGTCGTACCAGGTTGAGAACAACACGTTCGCAGTTTCAGCGCAAAGCCCAAACACGTTCATGGGCATGGCCTTCGATTTCGACAGCGAGGCACCTGTGGGTCACACCCTTGCCTTCGAGATCCCTGCCGGGACGGAGATCGTCTGGGTGAGCCGTGAAGAGATGGTCGAGGTGCTCCAAACGCAGGAGATGCCGGCCTCCCTCGAGAGGCGCTTAGAGGCGCAGTTACGCAAAGCTTCTTTGGCCAAGGGGTTGGATGGCGCGCTCACGCAGAAAGGAAGCAGGCGGCGCAGGCGGCGCAGGGCAGGGTGCACGGATGGACAGATTGGGTCCATGGCAGGAGGTGCCGCCGCCGTGGGCGTCGCTTTTCTGGTCTGCGCGTTTACTTTCATAGGCTGCTTCACGGCGTCGCCATTCTTGATGATGGCCGGGACAACGATGGTGACAAGCGGTGCTTGCGATTGCTGGGCTAACGATAATGTTGGGCAGACCTCCTGCGCGTTGCGCTGAGGGCGGCGAGGGCTGCGAGGGCGCGGTAGCGGTCTCCAGTTGCAGTTGGCGGGTTAGCTGACGATCATGATCCTGCGATGCTGCGGGGAAGAAGGCGTCTCTGGCCCAAGGTGTCCCCAGGTAACCTCCAGGAATGGATCACGCTCGTCGCACCGGCACACGTGTCGGCAGGGCGTCCCAGGTTTTTTCCATCTGAGGCATCCTCGCCGCTCATGACCCTGACCTTGCCCTGGTGTCGAGTCCACCGCTCGGTCGTCTTTTTTTCTGTCACCTCTTGATGTTGTTCGCCTCTCTCCTCGGCGCTTCCTGGCGGGCAGGGTTCGCGGGCCACAGCTCTTCGGAGAATTAGAGGTTCACAGCTCGAAGCTCGAAGGAGAAGGGAAAGGATGAGGAGAAGAGGCGTGAGAGATATGGGGGAGCATCAGGAAGGCGTAGGATGCGAAGAAGTCGCCCCCCATCAAATTTTGGAGCCGCCACGAGGGAGCGAAGTCGTCCTCCTCGTCCCCGTATTCCCCCCAGGGGCGGCGCCAGAGCGCGAAATTATGCGCGCTTCGCGCAGCGCGAAGCGCGATCTTAGCTGCTCTTGCATATCAGTTGCGCACAAGAGATACCCTAGGCAAAGGTGATCCTTGAAGCGCGGTTTGCCGTTCGCTGCGTGCGGTGCGGCAGTAGCGGCTTGCGCGCTTGGGTGTGCCCCCGCCCCCTTGCGCCCCACGACAGCCGCGCGCGAAAGTCACCCAGGCGAAGGGTCACTCGGCGTTCGGGGCGACCGCCCCGTCCGTGACGATTCGGACCCCCCCCTGCACGATCTCGGTGAGGCGCAGCTGTTGGAACGCATCCCGAGGCAGGGTAACCTCCAAGAGTTTGTAAACAAGCGCACGAACACGACAGACGACGTACAAACACGTGCAGCCGACCAGAACATTCTGGAGCGCTTTCGGGGCGCCCCAGAGCGCTACATAGCGGCCTTTGCGTTATACATCTCGGGTGTCGCCAAATGCGTCCTTCGCTCAACCATAGCAACTTTGGCTCAAGCCCTTCGACCAACAAGTCGCATCAAGCTATTTGCAGTACTGCACACCTACGTGATAAGGCGATTACATAGTGTTCACGGCTGCGCATTGCCGCCAACCCCTGCGCCCTGGAAGAGTCTACGTTGCCGAACGTTGCGGCCATAGTTCGGCCAATCTATCGGACCACGTATTCCCTTCAGCCGTTGTAGGAACACTTCGCGGGGAACACGTGGGGGAGCACGACGGAGAGGAGCAGAGGGAGGAGAAAGGAGGAGGAGGAGGAGGAGGAGGAGGAGGAGGACAACTCTTGGGAGCCTATTGGTGCACTCTTGGGGCCTCCTGGGATCTTCTTGGGAGCCTCTTGGAGGCCTCGGGCCTTCCTTGACCGTCTGAGGGTGTTTCTGGCCCGTCGAACGCCGCTGGAAGCCGTCAGAGGGGGCCTCTCTGGGCCGACCTGGGGGGCCTCTTGGGGCGCTTCGGGGCCGTCCTGGGGACCACCTGGGGCGTCTTGGAGGACTCGGGGCCGTCTTGGGGGGTCTCTTGGGCCGTGAGGGGGTAATCTCGGTGCCCCCTTGGACGCTCTCGGGGCCGTCTCGGTGGCCTCCTGGGCAGTCATGGGCCGTCAGAAGACCGAGGATTAGCAAGCGCCCGAATCCTTCAAAAGCATAATGAATGTGGCATCTTCAGGACTTCCTGGAGGGCCTGTTAGGCCGTAGTGGAGGCCTCTTGGGCCGCTTTGGGCGATGTTGAGGCCATCTTGGGCAATCGTGAGAGCATTTTGGCCCGACTGGGATGCATTTGGGACCATCTTGGAGGCCACCTTGGGGCCGCCCGGCGTGGGAAGACCGACGATGTGGGATGTTGAGGGGTCCTTGCGGAGTGGAAATCCGAGGGGAACTGTCTTTTCCGCAGGGCCAGCGCGATCGGCCGAACGCCGAGTGGGAACCGTAACAGTGACCGAAAACCATTCAACGTCCAGCATGCTGTGCAGCCATGTGGCCAGCCAACAGGGGCGGCGGATCGCGTGGTCTTCGGCCCATCCCGCCACTACGCCTGGGTTGAAGGTCGGAGGCCTCTCGGATACCAGGTGGGATCTCTCGGGAGGCCTCTCGGAAGTCTCTTGGGAGCAGTTTTGGGGGGTATCTTGGGACCTTTTTGGGGCCTCTTGGGGGCCTCTCAGGGGGCCTCCTGGAGCTCCTCGTGGGCCTCTTGGGGTGCCTGCTGGCGGTCTTGGGGGTCATCTTGGGTCGGAGGGCTCGAAGTGTCAGGTTGTGTTCCTCCTCTTGGGCCCCTCTTCGGGCCGACTTTGGGGCATCTTGAGCCGTCTTCGGCTATCTTGGGCCGTCTTGGTGCCCTCTTGGGTGCTGTTTTGGGGCGGTCGTTGGGTCCTCCTGGCCGTCTTCGAGTGTCCTGAGCCCGAAAAAGCGAGAACGCTGAATCCAGCGAGTACGCACGGGCATCAATGAATTTAGACTCTTGGGTCCCTCTTGGGCGGACTCTTGGAGTTCTCTTGGGGCGTAACGGGGGTCTTCTGGGCCGTCTGTCGGCAATCTTGGACATCTTACGGCGATCCTCTGGGCGACTTGGAGGCTGCCATGAAGCGTCCAGAACTCCAGGCCGTGAGCACTTCACAGAGTATTGCAATATTCAACGCAGAGAATTCAAAGGAACCTGAGGACACTGCAACTCGTGTCACGAGACGCGGTGGCGGATCGTTCACTTCTTGTTTAACTTGGATGTAGGGATGCTCGTCCACAGGAGGCATTGTTCCGCGTTGTTGGTGGTGATATATCTACGAAGTTTGTCCGTTGCGATCTCCGTCCAGCTGCGCGTGAACACCGACATGATCACCAACATGAGCACCCCGTCTTATCCTGCGGAACCGTATTGCTACAACGTCAACGGCATCTGTTTCCTCTGGGCTTCTCCGTGCTCTGCTGTAGTTTGGTGCTCCGAACTCAATGCCCTGTCTACTTATGACTGGTTCTGCCCTTGGGGGTTGCGCTACGCCACCCAGTCTGAGTGGGATGCTGCATACGCCACTCTGGACTCCAACAGGGACACGTTCTTCCAAAAATGCGCAGCCAGTCAGCTGGACCCGCGGCACGACCACTGCGACTACAACACCTTCGTGCGGGAGCCGGACAACTCATACAACGAGCTGGTCCTGGTGTGCCCCCCTGCGGGCACCCCGACGCCCAGCCCGACGCCCAGCCCGACCGTGGCGGCCGGCTCGCCGACGGCTAGCCCGACGCCTAGCCCGACGTTTGACCCGACGGCGGGCGGAACTGGTGCTTATCCTGCGGAGCCGTATTGCTACAACGTCAACGGCATCTGTTTTCTCTGGGCTTCTCCGTGCTCTGGTGTAGTTTGGTGCTCCGAACTCAATGCCCTTTCTACTTATGACTGGTTCTGCCCTTGGGGGTTGCGCTACGCCACCCAGTCTGAGTGGGACGCTGCATACGCCACTCTGGACTCCAACAGAGACACGTTCTTCCAGAAATGCGCAGCCAGTCAGCTGGACCCGCGGCACGACCACTGCGACTACTACAACACCTTCGTGCGGGAGCCGGACAACTCATACAACGAGCTGGTCCTGGTGTGCCCCCCTGCGGGCACCGCGACGCCCAGCCCGACGCCCAGCCCGACCGTGGCGCCAGGCTCGGCGACGGCCAGCCCGACGCCCAGCCCGACGTTCGATCCGACGGCGGGTGGAACTGGTGCTTATCCTGCGGAGCCGTATTGCTACAACGTCAACGGCATCTGTTTCCTCTGGGCTTCTCCGTGCTCTGGTGTAGTTTGGTGCTCCGAACTCAATGCCCTTTCTACTTATGACTGGTTCTGCCCTTGGGGGTTGCGCTACGCCACCCAGTCTGAGTGGGACGCTGCATACGCCACTCTGGACTCCAACAGAGACACGTTCTTCCAGAAATGCGCAGCCAGTCAGCTGGACCCGCGGCACGACCACTGCGACTACTACAACACCTTCGTGCGGGAGCCGGACAACTCATACAACGAGCTGGTCCTGGTGTGCCCCCCTGCGGGCACCGCGACGCCCAGCCCGACGCCCAGCCCGACCGTGGCGCCAGGCTCGGCGACGGCCAGCCCGACGCCCAGCCCGACGTTCGATCCGACGGCGGGTGGAACTGGTGCTTATCCTGCGGAGCCGTATTGCTACAACGTCAACGGCATCTGTTTCCTCTGGGCTTCTCCGTGCTCTGGTGTAGTTTGGTGCTCCGAACTCAATGCCCTTTCTACTTATGACTGGTTCTGCCCTTGGGGGTTGCGCTACGCCACCCAGTCTGAGTGGGACGCTGCATACGCCACTCTGGACTCCAACAGAGACACGTTCTTCCAGAAATGCGCAGCCAGTCAGCTGGACCCGCGGCACGACCACTGCGACTACTACAACACCTTCGTGCGGGAGCCGGACAACTCATACAACGAGCTGGTCCTGGTGTGCCCCCCTGCGGGCACCGCGACGCCCAGCCCGACGCCCAGCCCGACCGTGGCGCCAGGCTCGGTGACGGCCAGCCCGACGCCCAGCCCGACGGCCGGCCCGCTTCCGTCGGGTGGAACTGGTGGGCCCGGACAGGTGGACCCGTCTGGCAAAGGCGATCCCCACCTGCAGAACGTCCATGGTCAGCGGTTCGACTTGATGAAGCCAGGCCAGCACGTCTTGATAAATATCCCTCGTGGGCAGCGCGCTGACAGAGCATTGCTTCGCGTGCAGGCCTATGCGCGCCAACTGGGTGGGTGCGCGGATATGTACTTCCAAGAACTGAATGTTACCGGGTCTTGGGCAGAGTTCCAGCAAGCTGGAGGATACCGCTACACCGTATTGGAACCTGCTCCTAAGACATCGGAATGGCTTGCCTTTGAACAGGTTGAGCTGAAAGTCGTTCATGGACAGACGAAGCGTGGCCTCAAGTATTTGAATTTCTACGTCAAGCATTTGAGCCGAACTTCGTTTTCGGTCGGAGGCCTGCTGGGAGAGGACGACCACACGGCAGTGACGATTCCTACGGCAGAGTGTTCCCGGCGTGTTGCACTCATTCAGATGCCAAAGGGAGCGCCAGGTGGCCGCAGCGACTCCTCCGTTGCGGTAGCCAGCCCTTAGGGTGACCCGGGTCGGGGTTCCGCCTTTCTGTGTAACATCCGCCGCTCTGCGGTTGATCGGGAGTTTATGTATATATAGAAGAAGGGGCGCGCGCTTCTGGGCGAGAGGGAAACGACCGAGAGAAGAAGGGGCGGCCGCCCCACAGGACCTCTCCATGGTGCCGGAAGCCCATCAGGGCTCCCTCAGGGCCCCTCCCCCAGGGCCGGGGCTCCCTCGCCTGCCCCCTCCCCCTCCTCCTCCTCCTCCTCCTCCTCCTCCTCCTCCTCCTCCTTCGCCCCCGTCGGCATATCCAGGCGTGTTATGCAGTCAGGTCGTCCGTCCGGAAACGGTGCCGGAGGCCGCTCTGGGCTCCTGGGCATCCCCCCCGGGGCCCGTTTTGTGAGGATGTCTCAGGCGAGGGCGCCGGTTTGGGATTCGTCACCAGATCCAGCGGATCCAGCGGATCCGTCCGGAAACGGTGCCGGAGGCCGCTCTGGGCTCCTCTGGGCATCCCCCCCGGGGCCCGTTTTGTGAGGATGTCTCAGCGAGGGCGCCGGTTTGGGATTCGTCACCGGATCCAGCGGATCCAGCGGATCCGTCCGGAAACGGTGCCGGAGGCCGCTTTGGGCTCCTCTGGGCATACCCCCCGGGGCCCGTTTTGTGAGGATGTCTCAGGCGAGGGCGCCGGTTTGGGATTCGTCACCGGATCCAGCGGATCCAGCGGATCCAGCGGATCCGTCCGGAAACGGTGCCGGAGGCCGCTCTGGGCTCCTCTGGGCATCCCCCCCGGGGCCCGTTTTGTGAGGATGTCTCAGGCGAGGGCTCCGGTTTGGGATTCGTCACCGGATCCAGCGGATCCAGCGGATCCGTCCGGAAACGGTGCCGGAGGCCGCTCTGGGCTCCTGTGGGCATCCCCCCCGGGCCCCGTTTTGTGAGGATGTCTCAGGCGAGGGCGCCGGTTTGGGATTCGTCACCGGATCCAGCGGATCCAGCGGATCCGTCCGGAAACGGTGCCGGAGGCCGCTCTGGGCTCCTCTGGGCATCCCCCCCGGGGCCCGTTTTGTGAGGATGTCTCAGGCGAGGGCGCCGGTTTGGGATTCGTCACCGGATCCAGCGGATCCAGCGGATCCAGCGGATCCAGCGGATCCGTCCGGAAACGGTGCCGGAGGCCGCTCTGGGCTCCTCTGGGCATCCCCCCCGGGGCCCGTTTTGTGAGGATGTCTCAGGCGAGGGCGCCGGTTTGGGATTCGTCACCGGATCCAGCGGATCCAGCGGATCCAGCGGATCCGTCCGGAAACGGTGCCGGAGGCCGCTCTGGGCTCCTCTGGGCATCCCCCCCGGGGCCCGTTTTGTGAGGATGTCTCAGGCGAGGGCGCCGGTTTGGGATTCGTCACCGGATCCAGCGGATCCAGCGGATCCAGCGGATCCGTCCGGAAACGGTGCCGGAGGCCGCTCTGGGCTCCTCTGGGCATCCCCCCCGGGGCCCGTTTTGTGAGGATGTCTCAGGCGAGGGCGCCGGTTTGGGATTCGTCACCGGATCCAGCGGATCCAGCGGATCCGTCCGGAAACGGTGCCGGAGGCCGCTCTGGGCTCCTCTGGGCATCCCCCCCGGGGCCCGTTTTGTGAGGATGTCTCAGGCGAGGGCGCCGGTTTGGGATTCGTCACCGGATCCAGCGATCCAGCGGATCCAGCGGATCCGTCCGGAAACGGTGCCGGAGGCCGCTCTGGGCTCCTCTGGGCATCCCCCCCGGGGCCCGTTTTTGTGAGGATGTCTCAGGCGAGGGCGCCGGTTTGGGATTCGTCACCGGATCCAGCGGATCCAGCGGATCCGTCCGGAAACGGTGCCGGAGGCCGCTCTGGGCTCCTCTGGGCATCCCCCCCGGGCCCGTTTTGTGAGGATGTCTCAGGCGAGGGCGCCGGTTTGGGATTCGTCACCGGATCCAGCGGATCCAGCGGATCCAGCGGATCCGTCCGGAAACGGTGCCGGAGGCCGCTCTGGGCTCGTGCTCTTCGCGCCGGGGGTGAGGATGACGTGAGTTCCACAGAAACTCCCTCAAATTAGCAGTCTTCGAGGGTCCACGCCCCGGCCAGCGGGCCGTTGGTTTACCCGTCATCGCCGACGGCAGTCTGCACCGATTCGCAGTCGTCGGCGGCAGTTTAGAACTCAGTCAAAAGCTCTACCCTCAAAACCTCCCACCCACCCTGGAAAACTGGGGACGCCCGCCAGTCCGGCAATGCCAGGGAAGTGCGAGCGATGTAGACTGGGAGTTGCGGCTGCAGCGTGGGCGCGGTTTTCTCGGTCGGGGCGGTGTGTTCCAGTGGTTGATGTGTTTTCTGGGTGTGGCGTGGTTGCTGCGTCGTCTCGAGGGAGCAGAAGCGCATGCTTTTGCACAGCCCTGCGTTGCTACGTGACGAGTCGAGCAGACCAGCATTTGTTCCGCTCTCTTTGCGAGGCCACTTTTCGTGTAGGTACGACTACAGCCTCGGAACATGTTTTTCTCCAAACGCCGCCTCGCACGCCTTACATGTGGGCCGTAATGGGTATTCCTGACACCGTGCAATTCTGTCCAGTCTGCACACGCCCACCACGACGTGTGTTAATGCACCGTTCATGGCCGAAGACAGCGATGCACATCCCAGTGTGTGTTGAGACCGCGTGGCGGCCATGCTGGATGTTACCCAACCGTGCAGACATTCGATGATGCTTCTTGTGCAGTCTGCCAGCTCGAATCACGACCGCAAGCTGGGAGGATGTCTCGATCGAAACGGAGCCGACAACATGCCAAACGCGGGAGAACACATGCAATGTCTGATGACGCTTCAAGCGAAACTGGGCCGAAACCAAGCCAAAGCGGGGCGGCAACTTGTGAGGACGTCTCAAGCGAAACCGGGCCAACAACCTTGCCAAACCAAGGCGGAAGCAAGCAGCTGTTGAGGACGTCTCGGGCGGATCCGGGCCCAAACCAGGCCAAACCACAGCCAAACCACGCAAACTTGTGAGGACATCTCATGCGAATCCACGCCCAAATCAGGTCAAACCAGGGGCTCAACCAGGCAAAGGCTGAGGATGTCTCAGGCGGGGCGCGCGGCCAAACCAAGTCAAACCAGGCCAAACCAAACCAAACCATGGGCCAAACCAGGCAGATGTTGAGGACTTCCCAGGCAGAATCGCCCAAAGCAGGCTGCACCCTCTCCTAGAGAGAATGAGAATTCAAGGAGTCGATCACCCCCCCGGGGTCCCCCCCGCGGGCGGAAGCCCATGTAGAATTTGGTGAGGGGGCGTTTGGGCCGCACGCCCGCCGATGCGGACGGGGTTGGGCACAGATGCATTCATGTGTCGTTCGAGCGTTATTGGGTCCTTGCTGTGGCGTTCGGAGGTGTGCTTCTCAACGTGATCAGCCTCGGAAAGGTTTTCTTCCAATGTTACCACACGCGCCCATGTCGATCCACAGCGTGTTGGGAATGTCCACACCCATGCCACCCGCCATTTTGCAGCGCAGTCGTGTTACATGTGGGCCACAGTTGGTATTCATGACACCGTGCAATTCTGTCCAGTTTGCACACGCCCACCACGACGTGTGCTAATTCACCGTTCAGTGTCGAAGACAACGTGACACATCCCAGCGTGTGTTGAGACCGCATGGCGACCATGATGGATATTGCCCAACCGTGCAGGCATTCGATGATGTCTCGTGTGTAGTAAGCAAGCTCGAATCACCACCGCAAAGTGTAAGAACGACCCGAACGAAACGGAGCAGACACCATGCCAAACGAGGGAGAACACATGCAATGTCTGATGACGCTTCAAGCGAACTTGTGCCGAAACCAAGCCAAAGCAGGGCCACACCAGGCAAATTCTGAGGACGCCTCCAGCGAAACTGGGCCGAAACCGCGCCACAACAGGATTTGGCGTGCCCCAGAGTGCGTTTCTGTTTCCCCCATCCCTCGCTGTCCGTCCCCCCTGCTCTCTGTCTCTCTCACTCTTGCTCTCCGTTCTCCTCCGTTTCCCGTTCCGTCTCTTTCTCCTTCCTCTCATTCCTCTTGCTCGTGTCTCCTTCACGCCTCCTCTTTCCGCCTCCCTTATGCGTTTCAGCCCCCCTCCCTCATCTCCATCCCCCACCTCCTCCTCCTCCTCTTCCTCCTCCTCCTCCTCTTTTACTCCTTCCTCACTCTGCCGCCCTCACCCAGCATCCTGCCACACGGGAGTGGTACGGCCGGACCGAGGTACAAGATCGAGGCTGGTTCCAGGGGGGTGCCAGGTGTTCTCTGTGCTTGTTGGATGCATCCTGGGAGGGCACTCCAGATTCCGTAATAAAAGGGAGGGGGTCTCAACCCTCCCAGACGAGAAGTTTTAGACCCTCCCAGACCATCCATGAAAGGGCGGCCCTCTGCCCAGATCCCCCCGAACCCTCCAAGACAGCTCAAAGCAGACCCCCCCCCAAATGTGACCCCCCCGACTTTATTATGGAATCCGGAGTACCCGTGGATGTGATGTGTGTTTAGGCCAAGGGAGGGCCTCCCGTTCTTGAAGGGTGTTCTTCTGGCCCAGGTCCGACTGTAGGAGACCCAGCTTAGAAGAAAGAGACATCCCTCAAGTCTTTCTTTCTGGGACGACCCCGTTCGACACTTCGAGCCCAGACGCCAAGGGAGCCACGGGGGAGGCTCCCGGAGGCGCGCCGAGAAGCCCCGAGACACCACCGGGAGGAGGCACCCGCCCCAAAACCGAGGAGACCCCCCGCCCCCGGACCTCCCCTGGAGCCTTCCAGGAGCGCTTTCCCTCTCCTCCTCCTCCTCCGCATCCTCCTCCTCCTCCTCCTCCTCCTCCTCCTCCTCCCTCGCCCCAGGTGCGCCACCGAGGTGACCGTCCTCGAGGACACCGACGCCGGGTGGGCGGGCAGGCGCACGGGCGCTCGCCCACCTCGCCCTGCTGTTCCTCGTCTCCACCTCCACCACCTCCTCCACCTCCTCCACCTCCTCCACCACCTCCTCCACCTCTCGCTCCTCCTCCTCCTCCTCCTCCTCCTCCGACTGTGTGGTCAGGTCAGGTACTTTGAAGTGTAAGCGCTACTACAGGTATGTTAGTAAGCGTGGGCAGCTTGCCGAGTTCTGGCCAGGACCCTTCAAGCCTTGGTCTAAGCTTTCCAGGCGAATTTGTTCCCTCCCTCTGAGGCCGGCACCTGACCCGCGAGGAGGTAAGGATTTGCCGCCTGATGAGCTGGGGCGGGGTGGGAGGGGGCTGGGACCATCCTGTGGCTGAGCAGTTCTGCCCTCCGATTGTGCTTGCCTCCATTCGAATAATCTGACGCTGCGAAGCTTGTGGGAGACACTGCGTGGAGTTTCCGCAGAGGTCGGGTTTTGAGTGCCCCCCCGCCGCCAAAGCTGGGAAAGAGGTGCTGAGCAGGCTTAGCAGAGCCAAAGTCAGGCGTAGTGTTGCCTGAACTTTGAGTGTGTTAACGTGCCCCGCCTTTCAGCACGTCACCGCGTGAGGCAGGTAAAGGTAAAGGTCCTCTTCTCTTCATCTCCCTCCTCCTCCTCCTCCCCCTCCTCCTCCTCTCCTCCTCCTCCTCCTTCTCCTCCTCTCCCTCTCCTCCTCGTCTCCTCCTCCTCCTCCTCCTCCTCCTTCTCCTCCTCCTCCTCCTCGTCCTCGTCCTCTTCCTTTTCCTCCTCCTCCTTCTCCTCCTCGTCCTCTTCCTCTTCCTCCTCCCTCCCAAGCGCCAGCTCGGCCCGAGGCCCTTTGGGGCCGCGCGCGCCAGCCAGCGCCAGGGGGGCCCATCGCCCCGCCTCCCTCCCGCATCCCTCCCGCCTCGCCCCCCCTCGTGCGCCGCGGGGTGGCGACACCTGCGCCTCGGCCGCGGCGGCCCAACCGCTCCGCCGCCGAACGCCGCGCCCACTACCGCCGCGCGGACGGGCGGGCGGCGGAACACCTGCTGGCGGCGTTCGCCGCCATCGACGCCCACCGCGGCCAGCCCTTCAGCGGCCTGGCCCAGGCGCTTCGCATGGCGCTGCAGGGCGCCCCCCCCCAGCAGGCGCCGCTGGAGGACCTGGAGATGAAGGGGGTGGAGGTGGCGTGCAGCCCCGGCCAGGAGGCCTCCAGGACCCCGAGAACGACCCCGGCGCCGCGCTCGCGGACAGGAGGTCGCGGGCGGTCTACCTCGAGGCCACGCTGGCGCCGCTTTGCCCCGCGGAGGCGGGCGTGGACGTCGCCGCCCTCGACACCGCGATCGAGGAGCTCGGCGCCTCAGCTGCTGCAGACCCGCGCGGCGGCTGCGGTGATGATGCGGGCGTGGATGGCCGAGGTGGCGCTGGTGGCGCCGTCGCGCTCGACGCCGAGCCCGACGCCGCGGCCCCCCCGCCCGCCTCGACGCGTGCCGAGGGCTGCCCCGATGCCCCGCGCCGCGTCCAAGCCGCCCTTGGGCCCCGAGGCTGCCGCGCCGGCGGTGGCGCCGTGGCGGGCCGCCGAGGTCAATGAGGGGCCTCGCCGCCGCCCTCGCCGAGCCGGCGGCCATCGGGGCGGAGATGGCTTCCCTCCTCCTCCTCCCTCCTCCTCCTCCTCCTCTTGCCTCCTCCTCCTCCTCCTCCTCCTCCTCCTCCTCCTCCTCCTCCTCCTCCACCTCTAGCTCGTGAGAGTCGGGTTCGAGGGGCCGCCGCCGCCATGAGGAGGGGCGTTGGCCGTCGTGGTTCAGCTCGGTCGAGGCCGCTGGCTCGCGGGCGCACGACGGGGCAGGTGGCCCATCGTGGAGTTCGTCTTCGCGGCGCCCGCTGCCGCCATCATGTTTCTGGGGAGTTCCTGGGGGAGCAGGGTGGGTGCGCCTCTTCGGAGGGGCAGCACCCCACCTCCCCCGCCCTTCGGGAGAGCGCCTGGGGGCGGCTGGGGGCGCGTGGGGCGTCCCAGCATTTTGCTTTCCTCGCCGTGTTATACGGCCTGTTCGCCTCCTCTCTGAAGGCGGCGTCTGGGGGGGGGCGGTCAGCCGATCGTCTCTTTCTGGTTAGATCCCCATCCACTCCTCCTCCCTCCTTCACGCTCCTCTTCTTCGTTGCCCGTCCTCCTCCTCCCCTCCCTCCGCCCTCCTCCTCCTCCTCCTCCTCCTCCTCCTCCTCCTCCTCCTCCTTGTCCCTCCCATTCCTCCTCCTCCTCCTCCTCCTCCTCCTCTCCTCCTCCTCCTCCCCTCCTCCTCCCGTCCCCCCTCCCTCCTCCTCCTCCTCCTCCTCCCCCTCCTCCTCCTCCTCCTCTCCTCCTCCTCCTCTTTCTTTTCCTCCTCCTCCTCCTCCCAGTCCTCCCCTCCCTCCTCCTCCTCCTCCTCCTCCTCCCCCTCCTCCTCCTCCCCCTCCCCCTCCTCCTCTTCTTCGTAGATTCACCCGGCGAGCGCGGGACAGAGACGCGGCAGGTGGAGAGTTGTCTGCGCAAGTGGTCCTTCCTGATCCCGCTCTTCTGTTTTTGCGGCCCCGCGTGGATATGGGAGGCAACGGATCAACGAGCCTGCTGACGGCCTCCCGCGAGGCGTGCCCTTCTTGAACGGCAGCGCCTGCCGCCCGAAACACCCGGTTCTGGCACGAGCGGGCTGGAGCATCGTCCAGGTGGGCAGGTTTGGCAACCGAGAGTGTGCCGCGTACGGCTCGGGGAGTGCCCCTTTTTCCCAGACATCCTGCGACGGCGAAGAGTACGCGGTCAGCATGCTGCCGTTCGTAGCCATGGCCCCGTTCGATGTGCACATCGATTGCAATGGGGGCCGTGAGCACGCTGCAGGCTGGGGAGCGAAGTGGCACCATGTATGGAGACGGACGGCTCCACCCATGGGGCCGTTTGTGGGCATCCGTCACGCCTGTCGATTTCACGGTGTCCAAGACGCCGTCTCACGCGACGGGCGCGGACGTCGACGCAGGCCGAACCACGTTCTGTTAGAAGAAGAACGAACGCTCACGCCGACGAGTTGACCAAGAAAGGGGCGCAGCTGCACAAAACGTCAGACGACGACGTGGATTTGTGGCTCGGTTTATGGGAGCTGGCCTGAGATGCCACGCCTGCGCGGTCGACAACAGCCTGGTGGACCACGGAGGCGGTTTCGGAGCGAAGCCGCCTGTGGACGTCGACGGCGCAGTGACGGACGAGCGTCGTCGGCCAGCGCCGCGCGTTGCTCCGAGGGCGGCGGGGGAGGCGGCCGCAGGGCCACCGGATGGGATGCCCGACGCAGCGGAAGGCGCCAGGGCGGCACGAGAGGCGCGCAGAGAGGGAGGGGATCGCCGTGCAGCGCCGCTCGCCAGCGCCGCAGGGCCGGAGGCTGCGAGGGGACAGTTTCCAGCAGGCTGGGCCGATTCGTTGGCGACATATCTCCCCGTAGCTTTCAAGTGTGGCGGGCACGCCTTAGTGCAACACACGGCTGGGGCAAAGGCAGGGCCACACCCGAGTTGTCTGCATCTACTGCGGTGCACATGTTTCGGGTTCGTGCCCCGGAGAAGGATTCCAAGAACGGTGCAGGGGAAAAACACGAGCGCACAGGAACGATTTCGGAAGCTCCGCAAAAGGAGAACGCCCGCACCCCAGGGCAAGAGCATCAGCCTGGCCCCTCCTGAGGCCGTCCCTTGGGCCGGGAGACTGAGCTTGGAACCCCTTGTCGGGGGAGGCGCGCACGGGAGGGCAGCTCCGCTGGACAGCTTGGGCCATGCCCGCGGCAGCCCGCGGCAGCCCGAGGAACATGTTCTGTCTTAATACAGTGCCGTTTTAAATGCATGCTCCGCGTGCGGATCATGTTTATAAAATGCAGGGATTTAGTATTGAAAACAACGATGAGTTCATGCATCAATGTATTCATGAATGAATCATGTATTAAAATCATTTATGTTTAAAGATCCTATGTATTAAACACTGCCCTGTACTTCGGCTTGTCTGAATCCGTTTTGCCCTCGGCGCGAGCGCGCGGGCGGCGCACTCGCCAGCGAGCTGGGGGAATGGCAGCGAGCTTCCAGGCTCAGATTCAGAGCTTCCAAGCGGCTCCGAGGCTGGATGGCTTCTAACTGTTTTCGCCCCTTGGGCCACACGCCCCTGGGTAGGCTAGGGTCAAGTCGGGCCTGTCTCTCTACAAGAGGAAGATTCAAACATCACAAAAAGAAGTCTGGGGACGAGATAGTTATCTATATACATATAACCTACATGTATAATTGTTTATACATATAGATATAAGTACATATATAGATATATGGAATATTTGTATATCTATACGTATATAGATATGTCCGTAAGGGCTTCGCCCCCTGCCGCTGGCCCCTTCCCTCGGAAACTGGGCCATGGAAGAGCTAAATCATGAGGTCAGGGCGCGCCGCCGCGAAGCAGTGTCGGGACATGTTTGTTTGTCGACCCTGACCCTCCGGATCTGCGTCACGGGTGCAACCGGATTTTACAAATGTGGCAAATCCGTTGTGTTTTTGTTGACACTGAACCTATGGATCTGCGTGAGGGGCGCCACCGAATTTCAGAACTGTGGCAAATCCCTTTTGTTTTGGGATGGACCCTGACCCTGCCGATCTGCGTGAGGGGTGCCGCCGAATTTTAGAAATGTGGCGAATCCCATTTGTTTTTGGACCCTTACCCCGCCGATCTGCGTGAGGGGTTTCACCGAATGTCAGAAATGTGGCAAATCCTTTGTGTTTTTGGACCCTGACCACGCCGATCTGTGTGAGGGGTGCCACCGAATGTTAGAAACGTGGCAAATCCCTTGTGTGTTTTGGACCCTGACCCCGCCGATCTGCGTGAGGGGTGTCAGCAAATTTCAGAAATGTGGCAAGTCTTATATGTTTTTTGACCCTGACCCTGCCGATCTGCGTGAGGGGTTTCACCGAATGTCAGTCATGTGGCAAATCCTTTGTGTTTTTGGACCCTGACCCCGCCGATCTGCGTGAGGGGTGC